TTTATTCTGCCAATTAGAGAGAGCGGTAAGTTTGTCCAACGGGATAAGTTGTCTTTTATTGTTTTGAGTAGAGGGGTAAAGTTTAGATGTATCAACTCAGACAGCCTGGAGGAAACCCTCACGCCGAGGTAAGTGATGCAGTCTGTTGTGCAGATAGGGATCGGGGGTAAGTAGGTTGCTACATCCCAAAGGTCTTTTTGTTGACTTTAACTGGCATTGAAGACTTGTGCCAGTTAATGGAATAGTCTGAAACCTTTGAAAATGTTTCTATTAGATGTATTGTTTGGTTTAGTGAGGATTGTGGGTTTAGGAGGAAAAGGAGTATGTCGTTTGCGTATAGGTTGATTTTATGGTGATGCTTCTGTGTCTGTAAACTAGTGATGTTAGGATCCATGCGGACGGCTGCAGCTAATGGTTTGATGAAGACAGTGAAGAGAAGGGGAGAGAGTGGACAGCCCTGCCTGGTACCTCTGTGAAGGTTAAAGCTATGTGACGTTTGGCCGTTGGTGGTTATTATAGCAGTGAGTGCGGTATATAGGATCTTGACCCAGTTGATAAATGACTCCCCAAAGCCAAACTTTTTTAGCGTGGAGAAAAGGAATGACCAGTTGACTTTATCAAATGCTTTTTGAGCGTCTAATGTGACTATGGTGGCAGGTATTCTATGCTATTGAGTATGATCTATAATGTTTAAAAGTCTATGAGTATTGTTGGAAGAGAGTCTGCCTTTAATGAAACCTGTTTGATCTGGGTGGATAATGGTTGGGAGGATTTTTTCCAGTCGGTGGGCAAGAGTTTTTGTGATGATTTTAAGATCGACATTCAAGAGGGAAATAGGGCGGTAACTGGAGGGAAGTGTGGGGTCTAGGTTTTAGAAGTAATGTTATTATGGCTTGATTCATGTTGGCAGGGAGAGTGGAAGTTTGTTTTATTTTTGCAATCAGTCTTAGAAACAAGTGGTTTAGTATGGACCAGATGTGTTTGAAGAACTCAGCAGGGAAGCCTAAAAAACATAAACCTGCAGATTTATGAAGAGGCATTTTTTTTAACAAGTTATAAAGTTCATTTTCCAGGATCGGTCTATTAAGGATTTGAGTTTGATCTGAATTAAGTTGTGGGAGATTAATATTGTCAAGAAAAGCGTCTATGCTTTCTTGAGATGGTTTATTTTCTGATGTATATAAAGTACTGTAATAATTGTTACAAATATTGTTAATTTCCTGTGGAGACTGTGTAAGATTCCCTGCTGAGTCCCTCAATGACGAAATAGCAGATTTGTCTTTGTTTTGTTTTATTAGACCAGCTAAAAACTTTCCTGAATAATTATTACTGTAAAGATTATCTCTTCTTAAGCGTTGAAGATGGAATTGTATCTTTTTGTTAAATTTGTGTAAGCCCTCAGTCGTACAGGGATTAGTCAGAGCAAAGGAAGGTTTCTCACCCATCATCTGTACTTCTTAGCAAGTATTCCCGACGTTTCGTCCTCAAACCAGCTGACTTCTTCAGGGAATGAATTCTCAGACCGCGCGTTGGAGATTTATAACCTATGGGTGTGGTTAGCCACACCCTAATCCTGATACTAACTCATAAACAATCTAAGGTCTGTTTAATGTAGGAGGGAGCAGATCTAACGACCCTGCTGAGGCTAACGACCCTAACTCCTTAGCATGTCACAGACCTATTATCTGCTGGGATGCTCAAGTGCAGTGCAGGACTCACCCCTCCTAACTCATTAGCATATCACTGACCTTGTCCCAAGTTAGGGCGTTGTTTTTAGGATGTCGTCATAGATGCGAGGCAAAACAAATCTTAACCCTCCTCCTCTGTTAAGAGAAGGTTTTTGTTTCCTCACAAAAATGGCTTCTTTCACCCCTCTCTCAAACCAATTCTTCTCCCGAGCCAGAATTTTAACCTCGGTGTCATCCACTGTGTGGTTGGAGGCCTTGAGGAGAACGGACAATTAGAGACTGAGGTCTTCAGAAAGTCCACTCACACTGACCAGTACCTGGCCTTTGATTCAAATCATCCGCTACAACACAGACTCGGGGTCAGACTCGGGGTCAGACTCGGGGTCAACTCGCTTCAACACCGAGCCCACCAGGTCCCCACTAGCTCGGAGGGAAAGAATAGAGAAACCATACATGTTCAGAGAGCACTTTCCAGATGTGGCTACACCTAGTGGTCTTTTACTAAAGCCCAAAGGACGAGAAAGGCCAGAGACACAGTCCAACAGATAGAAGAAACTAGGAGGAGAGGGGTGTCCTTACCGTATGTGGTGGGAGTTTCAGAGAAACTACAAAGAATCTTTAGGCAACACAAAATCCCTGTGTATTTCAAACCTTTCAACACGTTAAGACAGAAATTAGTGCATCCCAAAGACAAAACACCCAGACACAAACAGAGCAATGTGTTGTATTCAATTAAATGTATTGAAGAGGAGTGCACTGACCACTATATTGGAGAAACCAAACAAACTCTACAGAAACGACTTTACCAACATCGTAGAGAAAACTCTAGTGGGCCATAGTCGGCTGTTCATCTCCACCTCAAGGCCTCCAACCACACAGTGGATGACACCGAGGTTAAGATTCTGGCTCGGGAGAAGAGGGGTGGTTTGAGAGAGGGGTGAAAGAAGCCATTTTTGTGAGGAAACAAAAACCTTCTCTTAACAGAGGAGGAGGGTTAAGATTTGTTTTGCCTCGCATCTATGACGACGTCCTAAAAACAACGCCCTAACTTGGGACAAGGTCAGTGACATGCTAAGGAGTTAGGGTCGTTGGCCTCAGCAGGGGCGTTAGATCTGCTCCCTCCTACATCAAACAGACCTTAGATTGTTTATGAGTTAGTCTCAGGATTAAGTTATAAATCTCCAACGCGCGGTCTGAGAATTCATTCCCTGAAGAAGTCCGCTGGTTTGAGGACGAAATGTCGGGAAAACTTGCTAAGAAGTACAGATGATGGGTGAGAAACCTTCCTTTGCATCTTTTTGTTAGTTATTTTGTTTAGCTCAAACTTATATTTTCTTACTTCATTTTGTGTTTGTTCCATTTTGTGTAAGGTTGGTCATCCTGAAACAGCTGTTCCAACACGTGGTGTGACGGAGCGTGTGACAAACAAAGTGCTTCGCTTTTAGTCAATTCACTCTCACTCTGTTAGTATTAGATAGCAATATGGCCTACGTGCAGGACTCTACAAGGACTCTGATGATGACTCCATGTTTTGACTATGATGTGACTGTCTCTGTGTGACACGTACGTCTTTCGATGTGTGACGTGACAATGACTATATAAATTGTGTACTGCCTTTATTCTGTCTGAGAGAAGGAAACAAAGGAAACAACTGGAACTTGAGAGAAACTTAAATAAACTTCCAGAGTTTGGCGCACCACTCATGTCACGTTTGCATTGATACGATTTACACATTTTACACATTTATTCTCCCACTCCCAAATCATAACCGTAAAAGTAGCCACACATTTAGATTTTATTTTATTTTTTTAAGTCTCGTTTTGGCTGTGGAAATATATTTAAAATCTCATTGTGTTATTGCTCAGTTCAAATCAAGCTGTTGAATAACTATCAACACTTTACAATACAACACTTTGTGTTGTATAGTAACTCAGTGTTACGAATATATGCTTGTATTATTTTAATGCAAGGAATACATTTGAGCTGATCTGTTTTTATATTTTGTTTGCAAACAGAGGAAACATGCCAATCATTTGGAGAGATACAAAAATCTCACTGCAGTTCCATTGAAAAGGAAGTCGTCCACATCTGATGAAGGCTCATCCAAACAGCTTAAATTGTGGGATGTCAAGAGGGTCTCACAGAAGAGTGTGGATGAATTCATTTTGAACTTTGTCATTCAAGGTCTGCACCCAGGCAGCATTGTCGAGCAGCAGGGTTTCAAAGCTATGATCAATCACCTGCAACCAGATGTGACAATAATGTCCCGGGGCACAATGATAAACAGGGTCGAAAAAGCTACAGTAGAAATGAAGAAAAATCTTAAGCTGCTATGAATGAGGTTGAGTTCATTGCAACTACTACTGATTGTTGGACCGCACACAGGAGAAGTTTCCTTGGAGTCACTGCACATTGGATTGAGACAGAAACTATGACTAGATGCTCTGTAGCACTGGCATGCAAACAGTTAAGAGGTTCACACACATTTGACAGCCTAGCTCGAGCACTGAATGACATTCACACAGAATTCAACATTCGGGACAAAATTGTACGCACAACAACAGACAATGGGTCAAATTTCATCAAAGCTTTCCGGGTGTATGGAGAGGGGGAGGAAAATAATAATCAGGAAAGGCAAAGTGAATCGGATGCAAGTGAAAACAGTGAAGGTGAGGAAAAAGAACAGGAGGGAAATATAAACTTCATTGAAGCAACAACATTATTGAACGAAGATGATGGCCTTGAATACCAACTTCCCAAGCACCATCGCTGTGCCTGCCACCTTCTCAAACTGGTGTCAACTGTTGACGTTTCAGATGCCAATGCAAATGCAACGTACAAACGACTTTCCCGGTCAGCCTTTTCAAAATGCTGGGGCCTGTGGAATAAAAGTGGGAGATCTACTGCTGCGGCTGAAATCATTGAGGAAAAATGTAAACTCCAGCTCCTGAGGCCCAATGACACAAGGTGGAATTCCATGTACCTGGCTGTTGAGAGAATAATAAGAATCATGAGAGAACAAGGAGAAGGAGCCATCACAGCTGTGTGTACTACACTTAAATTGCCCATGTGAGTAACTTTTATGATATTTATATTATATTAAGTTTAATAATCATGTAACATACAGTTTAAAATGTGTAATGTAGTTTGTGCTTGTTTCTCTTTAGTAGCCACTGATGTTTTATCATTATTATTTTATTTTTTTTATTCAGGTTCTCTCCTGCTGAGATTGCCTTTCTCAGTGAATATGTCAAGATAATGTGTCCTGTTGCAAAGGCAATTGATGTTCTTCAAGGAGAGACCAATGTGCAGATGGGTTGGCTCATTCCCACTATTACTCTTCTCAAGACTAAACTACAACACCTTCGACTCTCCTCCAAGTGCTGTGTGCCGCTCATAGATGCTCTTCAATCTGGACTTCAGAAGCGCTTTGGTGAGATGCTCAAGGATCCTGAGCTCATTGCAGCTTCCATTCTGGTGCCCAAATTCAGAAGATGCTGGACCACAGATGAGGGCCTTCTACAACTCGGTGTGTATTTTTATTTGTTTTATTTTTTTGTGCATTGATCTGTTATATTTACTTAAGAGACATGTATTTGAATGGTTAATGCAAAAATGTATTAGGTGTACTAATATTGCTGTATTTGCACTGTGTTTTTGATAGGCCTTGACTACATCAAAAGCCATCTCAAAGAGCTACCTGTGACTGTCAGTGACTCCACGCCTTCTTCAGAGGAAGATGACTTTTTTTCACCTATCAAGCAAGGGAACTTGCAAGAAAACACCAAACAGCTTGAGTCATACCTGGCCTGTCCCAATGACACCATGGAAATCTTGAAGTCATTTCCTGCAGTCCTGAACCTTTCACTACAGCTGAACACTCCACTACCTGCTTCTGCTGCCTGCGAAAGGCTCTTCAGCACAGCAGGACTCATTTTCCGACCCAAAAGGGCACGCATCCATTCACAAAACCTTGAAAACATGCTTCTGTTGAAGCTAAATCCAAAATTTTGGTAGTTTGCTTTTCCCCTTATATATCGGGATGGTTCCATTTTCCCATTGTATAGTTTGGTCATACTATAAGCTCCAAGTTATTTGGGATGTTTTTGCACTTTGTTTTTCTTGCACTTTTACAGTTTGTAGTTTAAGTTATAGGAATGATGAAAATACCACATTCTGCAGGCGCTCTTGAATGATCTTACGGGTATTACTACATTGTCGGATGTGCATTTAATTTCACACAAAGTGACATTTATTTTGTTCGGTGCAGCAGTACTCTGAGTCGAGTCTGAGTAAAAGAATAAAGAATTTGAAGGTCAAAACAAGTTTTTTTTTTTTTTTTTTTTAAGAGGAAAAATATCGATTTACTTTTTACTTTTTTACTTAAGTACATCTAAGAGTATGTACTTTTTTACTTTTACTTAAGTAAGGCAGAGGGTGCAGTACTTTTACTTTTACCAGAGTAGTTTTTTGCACAAGTATTAGTACTTTTACTTAAGTACTGAACACTGGTACTTTTGACACCTCTGCCTAGTCTGCATAATTGGATACTGGCTAAATTTTGAGCTGTCCCGGAGGTCTGTCCAAATCTCTCTAAATCAAATTTTCTTTGTTATGTCTTTGTCACGTCTTTGTCATGTCTTATGTTGTAGAAAACAGGTTAGCTGTGTGGGTAACCAGTCCCTATAGGAAAAAAAGAACCCCTTGACGTATCAGGGTCCCTGTCCTTTGAAGTAGTCAGGGCAGAGAAAGAGTAATTACAGGGTAGAGGCCCTTTTTTGAGTAATTACAGGGGTAGAGGCCCCTTGAGAAAAAGAGTAATTACAGGGTAGAGGCCCTTTTTTGAGTAATTACCGGGGTAGAGGCCCCTTGAGAAGAGAAAAAGAGTAATTACAGGGTAGAGGCCCTTTTTTGAGTAATTACCGGGGTAGAGGCCCCTTGCTAGCCAGAGAAAAGTGTTGGATCCTTAGTGAAACCATGGTGTAAACATAAAAGCAATAAAAAGGGAAATGTGATAAAGAGGCTTTTGTTACAAAAGCTTTGAAATTGACGAATTTCAGGCTGATAAATGACAAAATTACATAAGCAACAATATGTTACATTCAGTGATCACGGTTTAAATTACATACAGAAAAAGGGAGTTTGTTTTTTAGTTTGTTTTTTGGCGTGAACAGAGTTCACCGGAGAATGCCGAGTTTTATCTAAAGTTGAGCTATGAGAGCTTTCGTGAGTTATTTACATTTTTTGCCGAGTTGAGCTATGAGAGGGCTGTATCCAACAGTTATTTTTTTGTTTTTTAGAAAGAGATTTTGAGTTAAAACTAGTTTGCTACCTCGATAAAATAGAAGCGTAAGGGAAATTAAAGACAAGAGTGCCTTTTGTTACAAGTGTGGAAAGTGATCAATTCTAGACTTGGATGACAAAAGTTTAAAGAACAACATCAGTTATATTTGCTTAAAAAAGTAATCTTGAAAGTTCTTCTTCTTTCTGTTTTTGCATTTTTGCTAAAACACTACTTTCTGCCTGTGTGTGTGCGCGTCTGTGTGACAGGAACCCCCCCGCCCTCGCTGCGCTGCTGCTCTGATTTAAAGGGGAGCTACTGCGTTTAGGATTTTGGCTTTTCATAGTAGTTATTCCGTTAAATTTGCGAAATTTGCGATTGAACATTGTGTTATGACACAGTTAAACGTTTTAAACACCATTAGTGAATAAGTTTTGAATAGTATATGTTTTTTGAAATCCAAAGATTAGTACAAAAAAGCTTTGCTTTTCTTTTTAAATCTGCTGCTTATTTTTCCATTATTGTATCTCTGATATATTTCATAGCTGTTTGTGAGAATTGTTTCATGTATTTCCATTTTAGTTACAAAAGCCGTTTTTCAAACATTTAAATTAGAATCTGTGTTAAAAGTGATTCTTGATTATAGACTTCGTCTAAAAAGAAAGAGGGAATTAGGATTAGCTGTAAAAGTATTATATTATTAAGTTGAACTCTACCCAATTCACCCAATTCACATTGCAAGCGGTGATTTTTTTGTTTTGACTACACGCGTGACCTTGCTCCTGCTCCTGTTGCTGCTGCCCAGAGACAGGAGGAGGCAGCTCCCACAAAATTGAGTTTTATTGAACTAAATCCAGTTTAGCTGGAGCTAAATCTTTTGTTTGATTTCAGGTTATGTTTTAATGTTTTCCAAAATAATTTCATTACATGGCGTCTTTCAAGAAACCCAAGGACGCATAGATAATTAAACACACAGTACAAAAGTACATAATACATATTTTAAAGTTTTGAGATTTGAGTCTTGTTTTTTATTAAGAGTTTCTGGTCTTAAAATGTCATCATTAGTAAGATAATAAGTAATAAGTAATACGTTTATTTATATTGCGCATGTGAGAAAGCCAAGAGCGCTCCAAAATTGTTTAGACTTTAGAGAGAAAAACAATCTCATTCACATACTGATATCTGTTGTTTTTTAAATTGGCCGTCTCAAGGATTGTTTTTCAGACTCTGCCACACTGTACAAGGGTCACTGCTGGACTGGACACTGAGGGATCAGAACAGTGGAGCCCAGAGTAGACACCATCCAACCAGCCGCAGATTGTACAGTAGGTCCCATTTCGTTTTGTCGCCTTTCACGCGTGAATAGCACGAGACTCACGTGTGAAACACGCGTCTTTTATTTATTTTTTTCCCAGTGATGCTGCAATGACCCAAACAACCACCAGGTGGCACTTGTGAGCAGTGCCACCTTGAGCTTTATGACACCCAGTCATAAAGCTCAAGTCTTTGGCGCAGGAGGACCTGGGTTCGAGTACAAGTTAAAGACTTTTGATACAACTCCACAATCAGCACAAAGTTTTGAAGATAAAATTATTCCACTTTTGTACTGGCTTTTTATCTTTGCAGGGTTAGGAACATTGTCGGAAAATCTTCTGCTTTTAACCTCTTAACTCCCACCGAGCACGTTTTCTCCAGTGTTAAAAAAAAAAACTTAGTAATTAGGCCAACACATTTAAAATAGTTGCTAGACTGTAGTAAACTGTTGTAAACTTCACAATCTGCACCAACCAAACTGCAGGAAAAAAATGCAACTTTATTCAGTAACGGAGTAATCTGATTCATATACTCCCCCCGCTAATAAAATTTGAGGATTGGCTGGGGCTCGAACCCCGATCATCCAAGCGAAAGTCTTGGACAATCCTGCTACGCCACACAGGCGCTGGAGGAGACACTGGATCTAATAGGAGACACCGCTGAGTGAATGAGCCGTGCGTATGTGCGGGACGCTTCAAATGCCTTATATGCAAGTTAATGCAAATGTTTGCCATATGATCTGCTACTCCTGTGCATTTGCGTTTTAGAATTCCTAAACAATGGTAGCTATATGTAACATGTGTAGTTTAAATTTGTGTAATTATACACAGCCTATATATTGCTAATCAAAGTAAAAGTATTCAGAATACAGTGTACACTCGTGTTTGTTTTGTTCCAATGTTTCACGTTGTTCATTGTTTGAATTTAAATAAATGAAGCCCAGGCTATTTGACACAATGTGTTCACTGCCTTTTTTTCCTTTTAAAGTCTAACATGCGATTCTCAGCCGACACTCATAGCCTACGTTACAGTAATTATGCTGTAGTTCGGCCGATACTGGGCCGTCATAATAAGTGAGAGTCACGTTGCTGTAGTTCGGGTATCGATGGCTGCTTTTGTTATGTCAATGGGACAAATGAATAGATGCCAATGGAAGCCATCAGAGTCGCCAGCTCTGACCTAAAGGTCATTTGACCCAGCTCCAGGGCTTCTGGGGGGAGGGTGTGTGTGTAAAAATCCTACTACCCGTCAGCCTCTCTGTCTCTCTGCACATCAGCTCGTAAACTTAAATGTATTTCTCAGACACACATCCACGCGTTTAGCGGCAGAGGAGGGGGCAGCCACAGACGCTTCTCCCCTCGCTCCTCTGATCAGAATGAGAGGAAAACTCCTGTTGAAAATCAAAGTCACCTGATGCGCACAGGTTCTTCTGTTTTAGGACAGATAGATTTCAGATAGAAATTGCTACTCAAAAGGCGCTCTTAGACACTGCTGTTGTAGCGAGGGCTAACGCAGCCTCATCCCGCTCCCGATCTCGGCGGAGTTTTTGAAGTGTACAGTAACTCTACCGAATACAATTACTCAAAATTAGTATTCTAACAATTTGAAAGTTATACCACTTATACCACTTACTTTGAAATAGCATTCAGTAGCGACACTTTTAAACATAAAACACATTCTCACGATATTGCTAATACAAATTTATGATGGGGGAAAACTTTCTTTCTCCGTGTTTTACAAATATAATGGAGTTGGCTGATGAATGTCTGCTTAGTTTGTGAACTGTATTGAACTAGATTGACCAGGGCTCGAGTCCACAGGAATGTCGAAAATCCAGTTCATCTTCACATATGCAAAACATCTGATCTCGTGATTGGGACGGGACCGGGAAAAAAACACGAGTTGCAATTTCTTTACTATCTGTCATAAAGTGAAAGGAGCCTGTGCGTCCTTTATTTAGGACAAGACATTTTTAATAGCCTATCACTCAGGCGAGCAAAAACCGAGCACGTTTTCTCCAGTGTTAAATAAAAAATACTTAGTAATTAGGCCAACACATTTAAAATAGTTGCTAGACTGTAGTAAACTGTTGTAAACTTCACAATCTGCACCAACCAAACTGCAGAAAAAAAATGCAACTTTATTCAGTAACGGAGTAATCTGATTCATATACTCCCCCCGCTAATAAAAATTGAGGATTGGCCAGGGCTCGAACCCCGATCGTCCAAGCGAAAGACTTGGACAATCCTGCTACGCCACACAGGCGCTGGAAAAAACCATTGATCTAATAGGACAGACAGATGTAACAAGTGTAGTTTAAATTTTTGTAATTATACACAGCCTATATATTGCTAATCAAAGTAAAAGTATTCAGAATACAGTGTACACTCGTGTTTGTTTTGTTCCAATGTTTCACGTTCAA